GGGACCATACCATGGGGGGGGGAGGGGGGGGGAGCCCGCCGGGGCGTGACCATATATATATATATATATGTTATTAGGATTATATAAAGATAATGGAAAAGAAAGGGAAACTACTATAATAGGGCATGGGCCCCATCGGGCCCCTACTTTGAGCCCTGGATCTGGGGTCCTTATTAACCTGCGATATACCTTAGGCCCTAGAAGCCCAATTACGGGACCATAGTTCGGACCCAGGAAACAGGTAGAGGCCGTTAGGGAAAATGCTTCCCTAGAAAACAGCATGGCCTTCCAGCATCAATGCCACAATATGATCAACCAGTCAGAAGTTAAATCATTTCGCACTTCACGGGATGAGGGTCACGTTCCAGGCTACCATTCCCCAATACACACTCCAAAAGTTTGGCAATGGAAGTATGTTTTCTCACAGTTGGGAGAGTGTTTCATGCATGAGCCAGAAACCCCGAACACTCAAACTTAGACTGCATCTTCCCCGTTCCCAGATGCTGAGCCACCAGCCGGCGGTTTGTCCCAAAGCCTCGCAAACTGTGATATGGGAGAACAAAATCTGCCCTTGGGGCCCCTCGGAATATAACAAGGGACTATATTGGAGAATGCAAGGCTCCCTTCGTTTTGGTTTAGGGTTTCCCAAAGTGTGCTTCCTTTCTACTGGCTTTCATCGGGAGGATTATAAATTTCTTCCTTGGTGAAGCCACACCCCGATGGACCATTTTCCCCTACAAGGTGGTGTTCAGCCAGGCGAGGCCGCGCCAAGTCACGCCAGGCGCGCCAGCACACGCAAGGATTTACAAAAAAGGAACTCTACCTTTGCATTCCAAAACAGGCTGTGCAACTACAACATAAAACGTGCAGTTGCATGTGACTTCTGCTTGAAGTCGCCAAGAAAGGCATCAGTCATGATGGATGGCTTGCCCCAGAGTGCCCCAGAGAAACGTGTACCGACCCCAGGCCAAGGCCACCCCGAACTCGCCGCTCTCAGAGTTGGCCCTGCCTTCCTTTCCTCAGACCCATCAGCCTGTATCCGCTTTCACCCAGTCCCAGTGAGGACGCGCGAGCGCAAGTGCACGGGCTTCTTGTGCGACCCGAGCCAAGCGGACTCAGCGCGCAAGCGTTGCTTGTAATTGCGAACCGTAATGTTGGTCCATGTCATAGCACTGCGGGAGGTCCACGCGAGATCCGCACAAGGCTGCGCAACACATCCATCCATCCATCCAGCCATCCATCCGTCCATCCATCCATGCATCGCTGCCCAAGTTGAAAGCCCCGAACCTGCCAACTACATGTCTGCCAGATGAAAAATCCTGCTAGCATACACTACGGAACGACAATGCCCTGAAACAGCAATCAAGATCGCGTACTTGCAGGTTCCAAGAACACGCTAGCGAATTTGTTCTAGTGACTTGACAGAAGACAGAACGAGCTGCATAGAACTCCTGAAAGGACCATTCCGCTTACACTGACGCGTATCACCAGCGTAAGAAACCCCGTAGAAGCCCATGATTCCGTGACGCGGCATGCCGCCTCTTCACCTCCTCCGCTGCACGCTCCGCCGCCTCGCGACGCGCGGCCTGGCGCTCGCGCTCCTGGGAATCACAGTTTGTGCTTGACAGGGACTGTGGGGGAAGATCATGTGCAGATTATTCTCAGGGGGCGTGGAGAACCAAACACGCAAGTCCATTGTGACCAGGACTTACACTCATGACTCATGATACAAGGATATACAAGGAACATTGCGGGATAATTTGCAAACTCCGCTAGCATACAGGACTATGTGAAGGCTACATTGGAAATAAGTGGAAATAACTTCTGAGGGTTGTGCGTGTGCTGCATACAAGGATGCTGTATGGTCTATGCCTACAGCTCATGTGCGGACAGTGTTGGGAACCTGAAATGGCTTGGGCATTTCCAAATCTCAAGCCTCTTCTAGGCAGTCCTAGCAACAGCAAGTTCTTTGCTCTCTCCAGGGGCAACCTGCATACCTGGCTCCTCAAGTAAACTACAACCTTGCTCGGTTTCAAGAATGCTGGACGGGAGAATTAGAAGTGAAACTCGAGCGTTTTTTTGCAATCCGCGCAGTAGCCCATGGAGGCCGAAAAATCCTTGTAGGATCATCGCTGCGAAGGGTTCTGATTCTGATAGCAGTGATACGCATTGCCGCTACAATATCGTCTGTATTCGCGAAGCTGCTTCGAGATGCTACCCAGTAACCTAATTTTTGTGCGCATTCCCAGGCATCTCCACACGGTCAACATCATCCAGGGTGTTTAAATTTAAAGCGGAATTGCAACTCCTGCGGTCATACTCAGAAAGTTACCGTGAGTATCGATGGCTTGCGTCGGATGTGGCTCATGACCTTGCCCCTTGTAGAGCCCGGACCTGATGTTTCCTGATGTTTCCTGCAGAATCATGGGATCGCGAAGTGTCAAAACAAGTCTTCGTCCTAGGACTCACCATGGTTTCGTCATTACACTGGCCGCCAAAATGAGGACTGATGCCTAGGCATCACCAGAACAGTACTCGTGAATGGGAAACGTGGGTCAATTTTGGGGCTTGGCATGAAAAGGACAGTACTAGTGATGGGGTTGCTGTTAAGAAACTTAATTTAAGCTATAATATTGGGCAAACCCTATGGTTTACTTTACATAGCCGTTATGGTAACTTAATTTAAGTTCCTTGATAGCAACCCAAATGAGGGAGGAGATGCGAAGTCTCACAGACCCTAAACCCTAAACCCTAAATCCTAAACCCTAAATCCTAAACCCTGGACCCTAGGAATCGCTTAAGCTGCGCACCTCCTCCTCCATCTGCTCCTCAAGCTCGCGTCGCTCACGTTCCTCCTAAGCAAGAAAAATCTCAGCTTCCCAAAATTAGGGTACTTTTCTGGGTGTTATATAGGAGTTATATAGGGATAGTGGACAAGAAAATGGTGCTTAGGAGTTTCCCCAAATTTGGGTTTTGGGCTTAGGGACATAGACCCTCCATAATGGAGCATCAAATGGAAAAGAAAATGGAATGCCAAATGGAATCTGGGCGTAGACAGGGGTCTACAGGGATTAGGGTTTCCCAAAATTAGGGGTACCTTTAGAGGGATTATAGAGGTTTACAAGGGCTATATGGGGATATAAGATTTTGGGTTTAGGGTTAGGGTTTCTGCAAAACTCAGGGGTACCTTTAGAGGTGGATAGAGTTATGTGGGGATGAATAGCGTTTTCTTTTGGGCGGCTCCTTTCTCCATCACGGCAATCCAGGCCGAAACTGCGAATTGCGCAAATAGGGTTTAGGGACTTTTGGGTATCTTTGTGGGGGTCCCTATAATAAGGACTATAAAATATTGGGGTCTATATTGGGTCCCCCCCTATTTAGGGAGACTACCAAATGGCCTGTTTAGACGCTGCCCCTCGACTGGAACTCCTAATCCTTGGATTGCCTCAGCTGTTACAGATTTTGAGGTTCCCATGTCGCTTGCAAGAACTTTCTTTCTGGGGAGTTGTATAATAAGAGTCTCCGGAAGTTACGGCTGCGGAAGGTTGAGCGCACAGTTCGTCATTGCAGCTGCTCAGCTTCGTTATGGGAGATTTCATTCTGAACTCGGCAGTCCACATCAAGAAGTACTCAACTGAAGTGCAGAACTCTCAAGGGACCACATCAGATCACATACGAATACAGTGGTGAAGTGTAGATTGAAGTGGACATGAGAGTGCACTTTTGAGGGCGCTCAATTTAGCATTGAGACTCGTCTCCCGGGGAAATTGTCAGTGGCCGATGCGCGCGGGTCCTCCTCCAGGCGACGAAGCCTCTCTCGCTCCTTCCGCTCAGCCTGCATTCTTCTGGCCTTTAGTTAGCTGGGAATGAAGGAGGGGAAAAGAAAATGGAAACGACTATAATGGGTTATATAGCGACTTCTATAAGGATCCATTCCTTCATTCCTAGCAAACCAATGGCCAGTCTTCGACTGGCTTCGCAAGGCTACTGGTCATCGGATTTAGTCCTTGACAGCTCGGAGAAGGAGGGACGCCCCTCCTCATACTGCATCAGAATTGCAAGGACCCTGAAGATGACAAGGGACGAACACAGACTTTGAGAGATGAGCTCAGCATGAAGGTTGCAGCTTAGGGCCACTGTTTGCCTAAGCCTTCGGTTCTAGTCAGTCTAGAGGATCGAGCCTCCAAATCAGGAAAGCCGTCGTAGGAGCCTACTTCGTCCTTTGTTACTTGAGCTAGAGTCAATATTTCCCAGATGATTCAGGGACATGGGCTCCTTCTCCGGGACTAAATTAGGGCCAACTAGAGCCCTATGTCCACTGTTAAGGGTGTCTCCATAAGCCGGATATTGACAACGGCTCGGTTTCAACCGTCCATCCAGATTTCATGAATACACGGCATCTCCCTTCAACACACATCAGCCATGAAAGTTGGGTGGCCACAAGAACAGAAACCCCAAACCTTGAGCCTGCTTTGGAAACGCCAACCGAGCCCATACGTAGTTCAGAGACTGAATATGCTTGTCCAGCAATCCTGTAGTATTATGAGGTATACATTAGGTGGACCCCCCCCCACCCTGTAATTATGCCTATATTGGATGATAAGGATTATATTAGGGTCCTCGTATATTCCTATTATACCACGATCTAGGTATAAAGAATGATACATGAGCTCTCAGAAGCGTCTCTCAAGGCTGGTTTTTTGGTCAGGTCCGCCTGTCCAAGGTCACCGACCCTTGAGTCGTGACCTCTGAAGCCCCAATCTCTGAACCCTGAACTTGAGCTCTGAACTTTGCCCGGAAGCCCTGAACCTCTCTAAACCCTTCAACCCCTACAATGAACTAGGGACCCTAAATCTTTAACTCTGATTGAACTCCTGAATCCCCAAACTTCTCCTACCCCAGAACTTCCTCGCCTCGTCTCTCGCCTCGCGCTCGCGCTTCTGGCGCTCCCGCTCCTCCTGCTTCCTGGCCAATGAAAGGGGTCCCGGGTGTACATAAAGCTTATGTGAGATCTATAAGGATGTATGGTTTCATGTATTTCGAACCTTGGAGACAGTAAATAAACCCAGAAAAGAATCAGATGGAAAAAGATAGAACATGAAATGGAAACTGTGCACTGGCGCAAGCCGCTAGCAGGTCAGATCTGCCGTGCGGTGTCACCATAAGCGAGCTCTTCTGGAAGCCATGCTGTCTAAAGAACTGGGGATCGTATGTTGGCGGGCTTGAGGATGACAAGTCGGCACCCAAGATTCCTGTCTTTTCGCAACCCATCCAGACGGAGCTACGGCAATCTCGCCCTGTACCAGTGGGAGACGCCTCTGATTGCCTGCAGCACCCTTAGGAAGTGACACCTGCAATCCCACAAACAAATTCCTGCGATCTTGTGTGCAGGGTGAGTTTTGCAAGGGCCTGGCCTGTACAGCGCCATGAAAGTCTGAACACATCAGAGCTCTTGCGCAGATCTCCTAAACTTCTAGGCTGCTCGTTAATTTCTGCTGGTGCTGCCGCTATGCGCTTCGCAGCGCCGCTGCAAAGATGTGGGCAAAGAGGTCTTTGCTCTTTGCATAAACCCCTGGCACAGATGACTCGCGAGGGCCATTGATGTTCAGAATCAAGATGTCATGATCTCGAAGCCAGGTGACAAATCGCTCCTCCGCTGCAAGAAAGTCAGAGGCATCCTCCAACCCAAAGACCAGCAAAGGCTTGCCCAGCGCCTCAACAGCCCGAATTCCAAGGTTTGTACCATCCATGACCTTCTGGGGAAGGATTGTCAATGTGCCTCCGCAGGGTACCGATAATGAGAGATTGTAGACTTGAAGGAAAAGACCTAGACCAAAGCTGTCCCTGTCATGTGAGCCATCGTCTCCCTTAATAGCCCCTAAAACAGTCCTCAATATAACCCCCTATATGACCTCCTCTAAGGAGTTTAGACCCTAAACACTATATAATCCCCTGTGTAACCCTCCTTTGAGGAGTTTAGACTTCAGCTGATGTGGGGCCTGGCCTGAGCTTTCGAGGGCATTCATCAAGGTTCGCTTGGCATACTTGTCACTGGGGCTGAAATCCAGTCCCAGGCCTTCAAAGCGACCTGACAGCCATCACAAATATACTGGGTTGCTGTTAGGAACTTAAATTAGTGGTAACTTAAACTAAGTTCCTTAACAGCAACCCAATCTAATCACATGAGATCAAGGACTTTGTCTACTCTGCCTTATCCACCTTGGCCTGGCCATTGCTAAATACGCCTCTCAGATGAGTGATAGTGACAGGCAAGGCCACCCAGACCTTTGTGCGCTCTCCACACATCTGGTTGCAGAGGCACAAGGTTCCATTCCTCAGACAACCAGGTGGAAAGTAAGACCAGCTGACCATCCAGCAGGGTCAAGAAGGGATTTGGAAAAACTGGGTTGCCGTTAAGAAACTTAAATGAAGTTAGGACAACAAGGAAACCCTACTGTTTACTATATACCCATTGTATGGTAACGTGATTTAAAACAGTTCGAAAACTGTTGCTAGATGCATGCCTCGGATTCCCTCAACTCTGGGATGGGCCCATTCTCATCTGTGCCATCTTCAGGGCAGAAGCCTCCTGCTGGATTCTGCGGTCACATGCTTAGGCTTTTGAGCACCACCTACTCAGGTGTGGCCCGCCAAGTCTGATATTTTTGTGCAACATTTAATTGAGAAGCAAGTGGAAAATGGAAAATGGCATAGAAACTTGGATTATAATATAGTGATGTGTAGTGAATGTTTTAGGGTCCTTGTTTCGGGGGGCCACTGAATAACAAGGGTCCTACTTTTCGATAGGAGCAGAGGATGATTGAATGCTTTTGTTGTTTCATCATCCCTTCGTACACCTTTCCAGTGCCAGCATCAACTAAGGGAGCCTTGTTTGATTGTTTAAAGGTTCGGATTTGGATCCCTCTGGGGGCTTTGGAGGAAGGACTGGTGCCATATCGTGGGATGCCTGGTACCCCTGCCTTAGACCCTAAACCCTGAACCCTGAACCCAAACACTCATGCGCGAAACACCAACCTAAACTCCTTATGTAAACCCTAGCGGCCCTGGCCATGCCCAGCAGTGCCAGTCCTGTACCTATACCCGTATGCAACTCCTGTCAAAAGACTTAGCTACAGTTGACTTAGTGCTGGATGCCAAATACTAGCCCCAAATTCAGATGTCCTATAAGACGCCGAATCCTAAAGCATAACCAGGAAACCTTTGCTTTCCAAGTTTTCCCAAGGGCGCATGAAGACTGCAGCCCTATAAAAAGAGGCCGATATGCCGGTATGTCCAAGAATAAGGCTCGCCCTTACATAGACTTGCACAATGCCATGAACGCATCCCATGAACAGACTCTTCCAATAAAAAGTTGTGTACCGAGTGTCATGCTAATTTGGCTATAGCTTGAGGGCCTACCCCCTGAAACTAGTACAGGGTTTACTATTTAGGGGTTTTGGTTGAGGGAACTTGCACTTGAGGAGTGGGGATTGGAGGCTGCAGGTTCAGGATTTGAAATTTCAGGCTAAGGCTTAAACTTAAGGCTCAGGGTTCAAGATTTGGATTGAAGGTAGGGTTCAACATTCTGCTCAACTCCTTGGACTTTTACGTCTGCCCTTGGCACAGAGTCTTGCTCTTTCGCGCGGCTTGCTGCACTCTCATGCGGGGCTCAGAGTTTAGGCTATGAGGCTCAGGCCCAGGATTAAACGCCAAATGGAAGGTTGTAAACAGTACAGTCTGTTTTTCTGGCCCTCTGCCACTCTTATAGAATGGTGCTACGTAAAAAAAATATGTATCACAGGGTGGTGGAAGATTTCATCGTTTCCGGAAACTAGGGGTTCCTTTCGTGGGTCCCCAGAATTGCCTTTGCGTTCATCTCGAGCCCACCCCCCAATCATGAAATTTGATGAAATTGTGAATTCTCCTAAACCCTAAACCCCAAACCCTAGAGCCCAGACCCCAGACCCTAAAGCCTAACAGTTCTCCCTCCTGTCTGCAGGCCCAGCTGATGCGCGGTTTGCAGGGCGGCCTGGTCCACACCAGTCTGGCCCCCGGCTACCACCTTCTGCAAGCCTATCCAGGGAATATAAAGGGATAATCTAGGGTTTAGGGTTTAGGGTCTAAACTCCTAGTACCCCCCTTAATACGCAGGGAATCTAAAGGATTCCTTGGACATTGGGATAATGGAAAAGAACATGGCAGCTACTATAATGGGTTCAGGGGTTAGGGGTCAAATGGTTCAGGGTTTAGGGCTTAAAGGGTTCATCGGATATACCGGAATGACGGGGGTTGTTGATGACAGGGCTTGTGCATCAAGGGCAGGGAAGGCTAGTGGCTCTTAAGAAACGGTGATATTTTCTAGGGTCCTCTTCGGGGCGCATGAAACGAACGCAAGGCTATGCATGGGTCAAACTGAACTGTGGAAGGGTCATAGTCCAGGCCTAGGCTTAATGCCAAAGAAAACGGAACATGGAAACTGGGATAATTAGGACTACTACTATTCCTGATACTAGTATACTGGTGTTAACTCTACTATTCTGACTTTGTTATTGATAATACGTTTATTACTGGTATTCTCCACATCGGTGTGAGATTGCTAGCAGCCTGGGGTATGCAAGGACCACCACTTGGGCTTAGGAGACTGCCAGTGTCCTTCTTAAGCTTGAGTGTTGCATCCTGAAATACCACCTTTCCACAAAAGTATGAGGATGCACTTCATAAGGAATCCCTAGATATGTCTCCCAATATGAGCTATAGACTATAGCCTACACTGCTAGTATCCCCCTTAATAAACCCCATAATGCTCCCCTACACAACCTCCTTGAAGGAGTTTAGACTGTTGTGGTCCGCAAGGCCTCTGTACATGCCTAGAAGCTCCAGACTCTGCTTGTCAGTCTTCCCACAGAAGAGGAGGCTGCAGATCACCGCCACTGGTAGCTTAAAGGCCTGACGCCACATAGCGACTTGTACATCGGTAAGTCTGACTAGGTGCTTCATCTTTACCGCTCACTGCTTTGAGGAGACTGTTGGAATTAATGGAACTGACACCACCAAAATTATCAGCATGGCAACTGCTATTGAAAGATGTCTGCAAACCTTGCTGCAACCACCAAAATGCAACGTTCGGCAAATCTTCAGCTGCTTGAGCCCAAGATGGAAGTGAGCGAACTGGTCAATTGCTTCAGTCTGGCAAGTAAACGCTTGGTCATTTCATAGCTGATAAAAAAGCTCTTTTGTATGCCGCAATCCTATTCAAAGAAGACCCAAGAAGGGCGGCAGCGAGGCAAACCAGAAACCTCTGACTTAGAGGCTTATGCGTAGTAGTAACGTGTGGTGCGTTAGGGCTCTTGTTTGGGATATCCTTCCTAATGTGACCCCACTTCTGTCCCACTTGCCCGCAACATATTTTTAGCTTCAATAAACAGAGTATAGCGCACATTCTGGTGATTCCCAAAAATCGATCCCCAATTTTTGGAAACTTCGAACAAGCTTGTCAACCCATGCAAAATCTCTTTGAACAAGACCCAAGACAGTGAGCTGGGCAGAGTCAGTATCTACATGGAGGTTTCGCCGTGTGTTGGAAGTATCTAAAAGGAAGATCGTAGCTTTTGTGCGTGGAGTCCTTCTGTTACTTGTGGAAGCCCCACATGCCTCTTTCTTGGATTGGACCCTGGATTGCAGATAAGAAATCTGAGGCACTCAAGACCCAGGAGGCGGCTGAATCAAAGAGCCGGCAGCACTCTTCCTCTTCCATCTTGGCCTTGCGCGTGGACTGAGTACTGCCCCCACCCTGTAACAGTCTATATTGGGGGGGTCACATTAGGGCTACATATGGGTGGTTGTCAAAA